ACGTGAGACTGTCCAGTGCTGCTGGTTCAGTGCGCAAGGTGGTGTGTTGGGTCCGGAGACGACGAACTCGGGACCGCGAGGACCTGAGCCTCCCGCGGGGAGGGGCCTTGCCACCGACGCGGCGCCCTCTGGCTGCAGACCCGGGCCCGCGAACGGCCGGCCCGACGCCACCTCAGGGCTGCCGCGACCGAGTCCCACCGGGACGCCGCGGGCCCCGCAGGCGGGCGACGCCAGGGGACCAGGCCCCGTAGGCGTGCGGCGCGGAGGCGGGAGCGGAGGGCGACCCTCAACACGCTTACGCCCAGGCCCCGCTACCTCGAGGCGCGCAGGCCAGTCACCCACCAAGCCCGCGCGCCGGACGCCCCGCCCCGGCCCCACGGCGGCCCCGTCGTCCCGCCCCGGATCTCCCCACGCATTGGCCGAGTCCCGAGGTCACGCCCCCTCCTAGGGCAGAGGCTGCGCATTGGATGCGGCGGCAGCCAATCGGAGCCGCTCTTGCTGAAGAGTGGGGGGCCGCCCGCGCCGACCGGAAACGGAGCAACGTCGCGTCGGGGCTCGGTGTCGGAGCCGCTGCACGCCGCGTGGGTGCTCGCGCGGGAATCGCAGCCCAGACCGTTGCGCGAGCGGGTCAGGCGGGGTCCAGGCTCCCCAGGGCGGCGCAGCATGGGCGTCCTGAGCGCGGCGGCCCGGGTCGTGGTCCGCGGCGCGGACAGGATGAGCCAGTGGACGAGCAAGCGAGGGCCGCGCACCTTCTGCAAGGGCCGCGGCGCCAAGAGGACCGGCGTCTTCGCCTCGGGCTGGAAGTTCGTGCATATAAAGGAGAAGGTCCCGGAGTTCGTCGTCCCGGACTTGGCCGGCTTCAAGCTCAAGCCCTACGTGAGCTACCGCGCTCCTGCGGGCGCCGACGCGCCGCTCACGGCCAGGAAGCTCTTCGTGGAAGCAGTCGCACCTGCCATCGAGAAGGACTTCAAGGACGGCACTTTCGATCCTGACAACCTGGAAAAGTACGGTTTTGAGCCCACACAGGAAGGCAAGCTCTTCCAGCTGTATCCGAGGAATTTCCTGCGCTAGGAGGCAGAGCAGGAGTGACCCTGGGTTTTGCCTGCGAGCTGGAGACTGCATCGATCGATCCATTCTCACGGATCATGAATCCCCGGGGGAGTGGGGCGGTAGTTCCCTCGTCTCGTTTATTAAAGGCCTTTGCTACTCTGTACAGCGTGTGTTTTTGGCATCAGGTCGTGTGAAAGTGCAGCACGAATGATTTCGGTGCAGAGTTCTCATACGGAGACTCCATTCACTGGAAACCCTTTGGAAGAAGTCACCTTCCCCACGAAAGGGTTCTGGGAGCATGCCAATGGCGAACACATGACTCAGCTTACAGGAGGAAAAGAATTTACAAGGCAGATTGTGCCAGGTGACCACACTGGTTAGTTCATCCCCCAAATTCCTCACCCAAGAAACAAGGAGCATATTCTTTATAGGGTTTCAAGGCAACAGTTTGGGTCAGGTGAAGGTAACTGCCCCTCTTGGGGCAAACTTAAAGATGAGGCCACACAAGAAGTTAGTGCCAAACTGGGATTTCTTCTGCAAACCAGTCTCTCTTCTTTGTGTGTACCGGTTTCAGTGCATAGTCCGGCAGATATTCTGTATTCTGTTCAATATCTAGGTGACACTTAAGTTAAATATCCTTAACACAAACTCTAAGGGAGGATTCAACATGTTTCTATAGATATAAAAGGGCCGTTGGCTGGATATTGATTACCTTAACACAGAACAATTTCTCGTAGCAATCTGACTTACGTTGGCATGTCGTGTCCTATCTTCAGAATATAGGAAAGCAAAGGATAGAAGTGCATGTTTTCTGCTTCTGAACACCTATGTATGTTAGTAAATGCTGCGGATTTGACCAATTTTACAGCAGCCTGTACTTCAACCACACAGTTCCACCCAGAGACAAGAATACTCAAAGTGGGAGTCAGGTGTCACACAGCTTGTTTGTTTCTGCAGCCACCACCTGTGCCACATTTGGAAGCGAATAGTTTTTGTAATTTTTTTCAAGCCAAACAATTTATAGAAGCAAGTAGTTTTTTTAATGCCACAGTGATGGAGTCATTAGTGCCTCACACTGACTTCATGTATTTCCAGTTTATGACCCCTTAAGGCAACTCAGGACATACATACACTTCTTCCTTTTGTTTATCTGTATAGGGGTCTGATACAGGTGGAGCATCCCTCATCAGAAATGCTTGCACCAGAAGTGTTACAGATTTCAGATTCTTCCGGATTTTGGAATATTTGTATATATACACAATGAATCTTGGGAATGGGATGGATCTGAGTTTAAACATGAAATTCAATTGTTTCATATACACCTTACACACAGCCTGAAGGTAATTTTATACAGTATTTTCAATAACATATGCAACCTGCCACATGAAATCAGGTATGGAATTTTCCACTTGGGGAGACATGTCTACATTTAAAAAGTTTCAGATTTTGGAGCATTTAAGATTTTGGATTTGTGGATTAGGGATGCGAAACCTGTACAAGCACTTCTGGTGCTATGATGAGGGGATCTTTTAAAGTGTGCATCTGAAATTACTTCTTACATTATAAAGTAACTTTTCTTCTTAAACTTCATTTAATTAATATACGTAGTCGCTTAAACACGTATGAAGGGCTGAAAGTCAAAATCTACCTGAGAAACTCACAAGTTTGTTCTCTGAAACCAAGTCTTTTCCCCACTCACAGCCAGACAGCACCGCCCAGTCCCTTTCCACGGCCCAGGAGGGGAGCCGACAGCTGCTCTGACCGTGCAGCTTGCAGGGTTGCAGGAACAATCTCAAATGAGCCATGGGCAGTTCCCTCACAAAGTCACACGCTTAGTTTACTTGTGGGAATGGTCTTCACGATCTTGAGCCCAGGTCACCTCCCACTTCCAGAGGTGGAGAGCATGGTCATAAAAGGAGCAGGTGGCCAAGAGGCTGACATCCGAGTTCAGCCCTTCCAGGTGTGTGTCTCGGTCACAGGGCTTGGCCGCTTTGGTGTGCAGTTCAGTGCCGCTCTTCCTCCTGTTCTCTGGGAGTGGCTCCACGCCACTCTGGAGTTTCGCAGGGTCCTCCCCCTCGTCATCCACTGTGCGTTCAAGAGAGGGTGCTGGCAACCCACCTGCAACCTTCAGGTCTGCTGCTCTGGCTCCTGGGTCGCTCTGAAGACAGGACCACGAGGGGACGGGCTGCGGAGAACGGACGAGGAGCCAGGACCAGTCGGCTCCATACACCAGTGAGTTGGGCAACACGTGGGACACCAAGACTGTGGCTTCCTGCCTCTGCCCTGGGGCGAGAGACAGGAGAACACAGGAAACAACGTTACCCAGAGTTGATCAGCCCCAACCAATGCCCGTGTCCAGCCTCAAAGGGAGACTCCAGCAGGAGCAGTCCCTGTGAGTCACGCAGAGGCATCAAGACCTGGACAGACAGGTGGAGAAGAAAACAGACATTTCCCCTTGCAGTGCACACAGGACACGTTCCTCAGAGAGAGGAATCAGTGGGGGCTACAGAACCACACGTCAGGGGTGCTGTTCCAAGTTGGAGAACTTAACAAAGCTTCTCAGAGGGGGATCTAACTCAGCTAAGACTTAAAAGCAAAGGACAAAGGAGTTGGCCAGGTGGGAGGGGAGGGGAGGGAGGTATGAGAAACGGAACACGTGTGCAGGGCAAGGTGGGAAAGGCCACGGCACGGTCGAGCTGCACACATGCTGCTGCAGCTGCAGCACCACATGCCCCATGGCAGGGTTTGGATTTTGGCAGGAAAGGGGGTCACTGACAGGTTAAGCCGAGCAGTTTCTTTGTGATAAGTTGTCATGGCACCTGGAGGATGGCGGGCAGGATGGAAACAGGCCTGGGAGGGTTCCAGACAGTGCACAGCAATGGATGGTGTGCGGGGGACGTTACGACCAGAAAGAAATGACACCGTGGGCCGGGCGCAGTGGCTCACGCCTGTAATCCTGGCACTCTGGGAGGCTGAGGCGGGCGGATCGTTTGAGCTCAGGAGTTCGAGACCAGCCTGAGCAAGAGCGAGACCCCATCTCTACCAAAAAATAGAAAGAAATGATCTGGACAACTAAAAAAATATATGTATATATAAAAATTAGCCGGGCATGGTGGCGCATACCTGTAGTCCCAGCTACCCAGGAGGCTGAGGCAGGAGGATCGCTTGAGCTCAGGAGTTTGAGGTTGCTGTGAGCTAGGCTGACGCCACGGCACTCTAGCCTGGGCAACAGAGTGAGACTCTATCTCAAAAAAAAAAAAAAAAAAAAAAAAAAACGTGTGGCCACGCCTAGGGTGTCTGGGGTCAGGAGGCCGGGCCAGGGCTGTGAGAGCATCGTGGAGCCAGGAGGAGGTGAGCTGGGGGTGCAGACTCAGAAGCCTTTCAGCCAGCTGGGGGACTCCCTGGCTCTGGAAGGCCAGGAGGCCACTCAGGTTTTCAGTGAGCCTAGACGGTCACAATGCCCTGAGATGGCTGTCATCGCTACCTCTGAAGCTCAGGGATCAGTGCCAGTGATCTGAGTCGAAACCAGAATGAGAACTGGGGAAGGCGGGCTGAGGGCAGACCAGGATGCTAGAATTAGGAAACATGCCAGGAATGGAGTCACAGCACAGGAGACCCAGCTCCCTGAGCCCAGAGGTGGATCCAGGGGGGAGCAAGAGGCGGAACCTTCCGAGACAGCCACAGGGGTACTGGGGCAGCATGCACGGGCCAGCCCTGGGAAGGAAGCCCCAGATAAAGCTGCTGCTGTCCCTGGAAGACGCTTCCTTGTGTCACTGGGCAGGAAGGACCTCAGCTCGTCTTTCACCTGACAGTCACTCAACACACCCGCTCTTGGCCAGGGCCTCTTCTAAGGCTTCAGAAAGGTAATAAGACAGGGTCTGCATCTCACAGAGCTCACTCTGGTGGGGAAGACGGACCATGAATGAATGAACAAAAGACACTTCCGAGTGGGGATCAGTGCTGTGAAGAAATAGGGTAGGGGCAGGACTCTCAGGAGTGGGTGCTGAAGGTCCGAATGCCCTGAGGAGCCAGGTGCCATGGCTCACGCTGATAATGCCAGCACTTTGGGAGGCCGACGCGGGAGGACTGCTTGAGGCCAGGAGTTCAAGACCAGCTTGGGCAACATAGCAAGACCCCATTTCTACAAAAAGTAAGAACAATTAGCCTCCGTGGTGGCACACACTTGTAGTCCCAGCTGCTTGGGAAGCTGAGGCCAGAGGATCGCTTGAGGCCAGGAGTTGGCGGCTGCAGTGAGCCATGATCACACCACTGCAGTCCAGCCTGGGCAACAGAGCGAGACCTGTTTCTAAAAACAAAAAGAAAAAACAAACACACTGAGGGGTGAAGATCTGAAGCAGCAAGTGCGTGAGCCTAATGAGCCCAGTGCACTCGGGGGACGGCAGAAGAACAGTGTGGCCGTGGAGAGGGTGAAGATGCAGCCAGAGGTAGGCAGGGGCCGGATCCCAAAATTTTATTCCAAATGATGCGGAAGCCACTGGATACTTCTCATGGTTCACGTTTTTAAAAAGGTCACTGCTGTGCAAGGACCCGATGGCGGGCCACGGGCAGAGTGGAAAGGTGCGGTGGGAGACGCGGCAGCCAGACCAGCTACGGCAAGGTACGGAGCACCAGACAGAGCCCCGGGGGCACGGCCCGGACGCACTGGCAGGGCGTCAGAGGGAAAGAGGAACGACGACCAGAGAAGGCAAAGACTGAGCTCCTAAGTTTGAGACCTGGAAAACTGAAAGGAGGTACCAATCTCTAAGAAGTGAAGAAGCAGGTTTGAGGCGGCACCGTCCGGTTTAAGAGTGGCCAAGCGGCAGAGGCTGCGGGCTCCAAGTTGAGTTCAGGAGAGGGCATGGGCTGGGGGCCAGATGCAGCCCCCGCTGGACAGCGCGTGGCAAGATGGGCTAGAGTGGCCTCCATGCGGTGAGGGAACGAGAGCCCAAGTGTGGACTTGAGAGAAACAGCAGAACAAACACAACTGTTTCTTTTCTTCTTCTTTCCAAAAATGACAGTACAGAGAATTAAAAAGGCACAGACACAGGACAGGAAATGACAACGAATGAGAAGGAAAGAAAATTCTGCAGGTGGCAAGTAGGTCAGTGAGTGGTAACTGACTCAGCAGATCAAAGAAAGCAGGAACTGGGCTGCCAGGGCAGGGAGCACGCTGTTCTCACTGCACTTCTCCAGAAAGGCGCAGAAACTGGGCTCCTCGGCCAGTGGGATGAGAGTGGACAGGGGAATCGGACACACTCCCAGGTCTCCCCAGCCTCTGCCTGGGCAACTGGCCCTACAGCAGCTGTGGCATCAAACTGGAGGGTCATCAAGAGAGGCTGAAGGCACAGGTGAGGGGACATGAGCACAGGGGATGGGCTGAGAACCAGGAGCAGGTAAAAGCCGACACATTAAACAAGGACAACCTTTCCCGCTTGGCTCCCAAGGTAGCTGGCAGCTGGGCAGGAAACCAAAGGAACCAAAGGATGGTAACTTGAGATCAAGACATCTGAGAAACCTCCAGTGAAAACGTCTCATCTGTGCCTCATTTGTGCCACCATGCCTGGTTAACTGTTCTTATTTTTTGTAGAAATGGGGTCTTGCTATGTTGCCCAGGCTGGTCTTGAACTCCGGGCCTCAAGCAATCCTCCTGCCTCGGCCTCCCAAAGTGCTGGCATTATCAGCGTGAGCCATGGCACCTGCCTCCTCAGGGCATTTGGACCTTCAGCACCCACTCCTGAGAGTCCCGCCCCTGCCCCATTTCTTCATAGGACAGATCCCCACTGACTACTGCACGGGGAAGCCCCACCCTGGCACAGAAAGTCAAATACTCAGACCAGAAAAAGACAAAACCATCTATAAAAAAAAATATCAAATACCAGGCGCACGAGGGAAAAAGGATTCGACTGGAAAATTAACTGTGGGCATTGAAGATGGCAGGGAACAGCCAAGAGGAGGAAAGTGGGAGAAAGAAAGAGGGAGGATCAGACAAACGGACTGAAATGAAAAGAGAATCCAACAGAGAAAACTGGAGTTTCTGAAGAAAACAAAACAATGAGATGGAATTAACATTTAAAACCCAAGAATAATTTCTAGAAATAAAAGTCTCGTAAAAACGAAATCTATTTATGAAAAAGGCCCACGAAGTACCTGACAAGTGGCCTGGAGTGGTGAACTCCGAGACAGACCCCAGCGAAGCCACTCCCTATCAAGGGTCAAAGGTACCACAGCCGAAAGGTGGAACGACCCAGATGCGCACCAGTGCGTGACAGACAGACGAAATGCGGTCTCTCCACAGTCTTAAAAAGGAAAGAAATTCTGACATGCTGTGGCACGGGTGGGCCTTGAAAACATCAAGCTATGGGAGAGAAGCCAGGTACAAGCAGACGTGTGTTCTGTGATCTCCCTTCTATCAGGTATCTGGACGAGGCAAATTCAGAGGACGGAACATAAATTACAAGTTACCAGGAGCTCAAAGAAAAAGTCTGGGGTAATGGAAAAGTTTGGGACGTAAACAGAGTGATGATTGTGCAACGTTTTGAACATATTTCATACCACTGAATTACACAATTAAAATGCTTAAAATGGCATGTTTTATATGTATTTCACCATAGTTTTTTAAAAACCAGTTGAGAAAAAATCATCAGGTCCTCCAGACAGAAAGAGCAAATTACTCACAAGCCCCTGCCTGGCAGCAGAGCGCCAAGAAAGGCGGCTGGGCAGGACGCGTTCAAGACACACCAGCGACGGAGCGCGAATCTAGGACGTCACTGGCAAGCTCTCCTTCGAGTGCTAAGGCCATGGAAACAGGGTTGAGCACGTGAGAATTCAGGGACCACCACCCTCAAGAGACTTTCTAAAGGGTCTATCGGGAGACAAGCTCCACCCGAACGAGAGAGGGCAAGAACCACTGGCACCAGGACTGGAGCACAAAAAATACTCGGCTCTGAGCTAAGACCGAGGAAAAACAGGTGGGGCAAGGACAGAAAATAACATGGGAATTACATAAATGTTGTTTGTTTCCCATCTCTACCGAAAAATAAATTAGTGGGGCGTGATGGTGGGCCCGTAGTCCCAGCGACCTGGGAGGATCCCTTCGCCCGGGAGATGGAGGCTGCAGGGGGCTGTGGTCGCACCGCCGCCCTCCAGCCTGAGCCATGGAGCAAGGACCCGTCTCTGCGAAAACGGACGAGGAAGACGTCAATGAACGTGGAGTGATGTCGAGGATCTATTTTTATATGAAATAAGCAAAGAAAAGAATATATGTACAATGTTAGGTTTTATGTTATAAAAAAGGAAAGATTACATATACATATTTATACCTATTTTTGCAAAAAAACACAATTATAACCCAAAACTAATGAGACTGGAACCAACAATCAGTGAGTGGGCAGGAGACAGAGGGCTAGGGAAAGACTCGCACACCTCAGAGCATACTTTCTGTATAATTTTAACATCTAGGACACCGTTAATGTTTCTATACATTTAAAACAAAGAAATTAATGATGCAGAAAAATCCTTAAAAAAATGAACAGAATAAATCTAATTGTATTTCAAATAACCTCATATACACAAAAAACTAATCCAAGTAACTTTTTTTTGGACATTTGCTTATTTTTTCTTCTAGAATTTTTCTTATTGTACCTATTCATAGGGTACACAGTGATGTTCCAATGCATATATTGTACAGTGATCAGATCGTGGTAATGAGTATATCCATTATCTCAAACATTTATCGTTTTTTTGCGTTGGGAACATTTAATATCCTCCTTCTAGCTATTTAAAACTATATATTATTGTTAACTTTAGTTATTCTACAGTAGTATAGGACACTAAAACTTATTCCTACCATCTAAATGTAATTATTATGATTTTTACAACCTTTTTTTTTAAAGATGGGGTCTCACTATGTTGCCCAAGCTGGTTTCAAACTCCTGAACTCACATGATCCTCCCACCTCAGCCTCCCAAGCAGTTGGGACTATAGGCACGAGCCACTGCGCCTGGCCACAGGAGTTTGACTATATGTACCTCAATCTAAAGAAAAGAACTGCAGAAACATCTTGAATTTACTCAGCAGGTGTGTTTTGGTAGTACCAGCAGCAACTCTGTAAGATCAAGCAGGTAAGTAAACGTTTGCTGGGCACCAAGGTTCTTACTGGAGATGGGAGGTGCATACCGAACGGGGAGGGCAAGAGAACACTGCGGTGTTGGACTGGAATTAGAGATGTCATGATGAACTTGCACTCGTAAAACACATATGTATGTACGCGCGCGCGCGCGCGCGCACACACACACACACACACACACACACACGGACTCTACGAGCTATAAGGACAATCAAATCTTGGTTTCAAAACACAAGTCATCGCTAAGAGGATCCAGCACTCCCTGAAGAAACAGCTGATTTCAGGAATGAGAGAGATAAAACACAAAATGAACCTGAAGTATCCTGTGCCAAAACGTAAGGAAATGTCCAAAAAAAGACAACGGGACACATGAAAAGAACAGAGAAGCCAGCTCAAAGGGGCTTCCATGGTTAAACCCTGGGACGATTTGAACATTATAATGAACAATGACAATAATGGATTACGACCCACTGAATAACGTAAAACCCCGTGTGTCTACACGGATATTAAATACAGACAGAGACACAAAAAAGCAACCTCCATCTTACAAAAGAATGCTAATTAATAAATGTAGAAGGTGTAATAAAAGCTAGAAAATCACCATTCTATAATTATCATAGTAATAACTTGTTCAGGCAAGAATCATCACTCGATGGGGTGAAAGTCTGATCAGAACAGCTGTTTATAGGTTCGAAGACTCTCACCACAGACGATCTGTTGATCACAAAGGGGAAAATCACGTCTCTGCGCGGAGAGATCCGCAGACACCACCTGGGCAGGGCGGTCAGAGCTCGCGTCACAGCCACGGACAAGGCGGCGTCACAAGTCTCCTGATGTGAGGCACCGAGGAGGGCGCAGGTCACCTTCGTGCGGTTCCCTGGGAAAAACGCACAACCTGACTGGGGACGGGCTTCGGATTCAAACACAGGAACAGACTGGAGGTGGAAGGATGGAAGAAGACGTGTCACACAGCAGCAGCCGTGAGAAAGCTTAGGAGCCACACTAATCTCAAGGCTGACTTTAAAACAAAAAACGTACCTAGATATAAAGGAGGACACTTCATAGTGAAAAAAAGGGTCAACACATCTGGAAGATACAAGTATCATAAGCATACATGCATCTAAAAACAGAGCCCCCAAATACATGAAGCAAAAACTGACAGAAGTAAGGGCAGGCATAGAAATTCTACAGGGTTGGCTGGAGACTTCAGTACCCCACTTCCAACACTGAACAGATGGGAGATTGGTGAGGAACTAGCAGAGGCCAGGTGCAGCGGCTCATACCTACAATCCCACAGCTGTGGGAGGCCAAAGCAGGAGGATCACTTGACGCCAGGACTTCAAGACCAGCCTGGGCAACACAGCAAAATCCTATCTCTAAAAAAATTTAAAAATTAGCCAGGAATGGTGGCACCTGTAGTCCCAGCTACTCGGGAGGCTGAGGCAGGAGGATGGCTGTAGCCCAGGAGTTCAAGGCTGCAGTGAGCTATGATTGTGACACTGCACTCTAGCCCAGGTGACAAGTCAAGACCCTGTCTCTAAAAATAATAATAATAATAATGAACAAGAAGATCTGAACGTTATAAACCAATGAGACCTAACAGACGTCTACAGACCACTCCACCAATGACCCCGGAACACGTACTCTGCTCCAGTGCACAGAACATTCTCCAGGACACACCACATTCTAGGCCACAAACAACGAGTCTCAACAAACTTGAAAGGACTCCACAGTAGAACCAAATTAGAAATAAATGACAAAAAGAAATTTGCGGACCCTCACAAAAATGTGGAAAATACACAACACACACATAAAGAACCAATGGTCTAAGAAAAAAATCAGAAGGAAATTAGAAACCACCTCGAGATGAATGAAAAGAAAGACACCAACACACCAAAGCATACGGCATGTAGCAAAAGCAGTCCTCAGAGGAAAGTTTACCACTACAAATGCCTATGTTAATTAAAAACACTCAGTTCTAAGATGAGCAGCATTACGGGATGTTCACGTAACTAGTCGGGATGGTGCAGAGGGAACGGGAAACCGAGGGTGCAGGAAAGAGGAACAGCGGCGCAGGCCAGCTCCTGGGCAGAGACCCGCGCAGAGGGCACTAGCCTTAGGACAGATGCGGTCCAGCCACTGCGCACACGCAGGTGACTCAGGAAGGCCGGTAGGAAGATGATGGGGTTTTCTGGTCACTTCTTTTTGGAGTGGGGGGAGGAGGGAGACTGAGAGATGAGTGAAGAGGGGAAGTTGGGGCTCTGAGGAGAGAAAATGTGGAACAGTCCTGACAGCAGGGAGTTAACGCCCAGGACCACGGGCATGAGCTTGAAGGGAGGGCACTGCAAGTGACATCCCCCTGCAGCCACACTCCACGGCTCAGGCACACAGGAGAGCGTCCCCAACAACGCTGGGTTCCGCCCAGAGAGCGTGAGAAGGGAGCACACTGGGGACCTCAGACCATGGAGCCCAAACTGCTCACAGGCCGAAGAACCTGGGAGAAGGACGGCCAAGTGTAGCGCGAGAGTGACCGGCGGGGTCAGAGGGCTGCTGAAATGCAGGAGCCAGCATCACTGAGCGGGTCGGGAGGAAACAACGGTCAGAGCACAGAGTTCCTGAAACTCAGGTTCCGGAGTTGGCGCGGTCACAGACCACAGGGTCTAGGGTGTGGCCCTGGGAACGTGTGGAAGACGAGGAAGAGCTTGCAGCCAAGGGGGCAGGGAACTGGGAGCCCCTGCCCTCAGGCCCAGCTACAGGGGCCCCACTCACCCATCGCCTTTTGGCAGTCGAGGATCTTAAAGCCACCGTGCATACAGGCCGCCAGGAGCAGGTGCTGATGGAAAGGGTGCCACCTGAGCCTCCACACCCCGCCCTGGACAGGTGTGTCTGCACACGGCCACTTCATGTTCCGAGTGTCCCACAGTAGAACGTGCTCGTCGTAGCTGGAACCGACCAACGCCCGCGGACTTGCAGCTGAGCCCACGCTCGCTTGCCCCCCAAGGCCCCTGGGTGGCAGGGAACATCTCCTGGGGACCCTCCCACTCGTCCCTTGAGATGAAGTCCCCTTCCCAAACCCAGACGCCTACACTCCCCTTTGAGAGCTGGCCAGACCAAACGCTGATGGTCCCACGAGGAGGGGACCCGAAGGACGCGAGAGGGACCTGTGACCCGCTCCGGCGGACTCACCTCCCCGTGGCCAGGACGTGCTCCCGGTGGGGGCTGCTCTGGATGCTGCACACGCCCATGGAGTGTCTGCAAGACAAGGGCGATGCCTGAGCAAGGGCTGGGCCGCAAGGCTCGTGCGGGGAGCGGCCCGCGGAGGAGGAGCAGGGCCGCCGGTGCTGGTGCCGAGTCGGACCCGGGCTGGTTACCTCTCGCTGGTGAACAGAGGCTTGCCAGGTGCCCTGGTGTCCCAGCCCTTCAGAAGGCCATCGTCCCCCCCTGCGTGGAAACAGAGACGCTGTCAACAGCGGCAGTGGCAACAGGAAATGGCCGTTTCTCAGTGAGACGAGTTGTCTGTCAGGCAGTCCCCTCGGGTGACTTTGCTGGGTGGTTTCAGGCTGCCACCGAGCAGGAGGCCCCGAGACACCACCAGGAACAGGCACACGGGCCTGACTATCTGCAGACTTGCCGCAGGGCCTGCAGGAGGAAGGGAAATGTCAACGGGCATTTGGCATAAGAGGGAAGAAACGGAAACCGCAGGGGCATTTGGTCCCACGTGGCCACTGTTCATGACAGTAATTGCCAGGTCCCACGCGGCTAAACCGCTTCTCTTAGGGTCCAGCACCGGCTGCCTGGTGCCAAGACCCCGGGGGGCCACATCAAAGAACGCTGAGCACAGAGATGAAGGAACAGCCACACGAGCGCTTCTCAGGTGTCTGGACACTCGGCACAGCATCGTCGCGGAGAAATGCTCTGTGTAACGTGACGGTGAAAGACACCCTGCACGAGCTTTAGGGGAACAGCGGAAAGCACGGGAAGGACAGAGGGGCTGGTGCACTGAACCACCACCAGTCTGAGGCAGAGCACCACCAAGACACAGGGCGGAGGGCAGTGTCCTGACGGAAGCGGTGAGCTTGGGAGCGGGGCCCACAGGGAGGGTGAAAGGTCAAAAGGGAAATGCCTGGCCCTGATCACTTCGCCCACCCGCCATCTCCCGGGAGATGCCCCAGGGCCTGCCCACCCCGACCCTGCTCTGAAACAGGACAGTCTGCACCTGCCCCCAGCTCCCCGACCCTTCTACCGTCCTTCTTTCCAAAGCACTTTCACCCCTGACCCACCGTGCGATCTTATTTACTGCGCGTCAAGCTTTGTGTCCACCGCCCTCCCCACTCGATGTATGAGCGACAGAAGAGCCTTCTGCCGGTTTGTTCGCTGTGTCCCAGTCCCTGGAATGGTGCGCGGCACGTAGTAAGTGCTCAGTAAGTGCAAACGAACGAATTAGTCCTGAGTTATTACGTTGTTGCCCCACCACAGTCCTGCTGGGAATTAGCTAAGCCCCAAGGCAGGAGAACTAATCAATCCAACGAGAAACCTCAAAAAATAAAATCGTTATGGTTCTCGCTGAGACTGTTCCAGGGTGTGACAGCAAACGAAACTGATGAGGACCTTCCCCTCGGGGACAGAGCAGCCTTTAGCACTGATCCTCATCAGGAAGGGCTGGAGGTACCACGAGAAGGATGACGGAGGACCAGGCCCATCTGGGCTGCCGAGGGAGGGCATCCTATGCCAGCTTTTCTGATGGCTTTAAGCTGAGCACGCCAGGCGAGTAGAACCTGAGCAGGAAACACGGAGACCGGACAGAACGTGGAACGTGAGGAAAAGAAGGTTACGAGCAAAGAGTTGTCACTCAGGACGGGGCTGTAAAGGCAGGTCCGAATCTCACAAGTATTTTTTATGTTACCCTAAAAGAAACAGGAGCGTGAAGGCGCTAACAATCAGGTGCGACAGTTTGCGTGTTTTAAACAACAGCTCTGGCTATTGTGTGGAGCCTGGACGGGGAGGGGCCGGGAGCGAAAGCAGGGCCGCCACGGTCGCTCTGCTGCACCAGCCAGCCAGGACGGGGGTGGCTGCAGGGGAGCACGCAAAACAGCCGGTCTGAGACCCCCAGAAGATGAATCGCCACCCCCGGGAGGGCAGGGCACACAGTCATCCACGAGGACAGCAGGCTTCTGAGCGGAACACGCAGACCACATCCTGCGCCAGGGAACTCGGGGACAGGGAGGCGGGGTCTGCAGCAGGGTGGCGCAGAGGATGAGAGTGCGGGTCTCACGTCACGGAGCACGAGGGCCCCAGGACATCCCAGCACAGGTGATGGGCAGCAGGCGAGACAAATGGGCCTAGGGCTCAAAGACAAGGTCTGGGTCAGACAATCGAGACCTGGCCGCTTCTGGAAAGAGGCAGTGACTGCCGCCAGGAGTCACAACGTCGGGTGAGACAAGATCCAGACAGAAGCCCGAGGAGACAGACACACGTGAAGGGGGAGAAGAGCCGGCGAAGCGGAACAGAGAGCTGAGAGAAAGAGCCACCCAGAGTGCATGGTCGCACGACACCCAGGACGGAGGGGCGAGGCTTGCTGAACCATGCCCTGTCAGCCCGGCGAGAGCGGTTTTGACAAAGGGGCTGTGGGCAGGGGCTCAGGTGGTTTTCTGACAGTCCAGCGGAATGTTCTGACCTCACCTCCCGCCCAGGTCTGCGGCCCACTGCCACCATCAGGCAGAGTGGCAAAGAAGGGGTCAGATCTTTTCTTTGGCTCTTTGCAGATTCAGTTCCTCCTTCTGTCATCTCTCAGAGACCAACCCTCCCGCCTCCGTGAGTCAGGCCAAAGCGTCCCCATTCCTAGGCCCTCTCACTCCCACACCAGCACCCCCAAAACACCACCCGAGACCAGGAAAGTAATCTTATTTCTCTCGTGCTTGCTTTTCTTTCGGAAGATAAACTACTTCCCAAAAGGGAGTAGACAAACCTGAAATCCAACATAGTATTTGTAGGTATCAGGCAAACAGCACGGACGCCGATTCCTAGGAGCTCGTGCAAAGGACACGACACTGAGGGCACCGCGCAGGCAGGACGGCTCCGCCCCCGTCACGGCCAGCAGCACCCAGGGGCCCGCAAGGCCAGAAGCAACCTGCGCCTTGCTTTCTTAGGAACGGCTAAGCGACGAGTGCCAACTGTAGCTCTCGTCCCAGAAGGTACATTCTCCGCAGAAGGTCTTCTAGATCCCAGCAGGACCAGCCCAGCCTTGGCAGGTACCTCCCTCCCTCGCCCTCCTGCCGTCTCCACTGGAGAGCACCTGTGTCCAGGGGAGGGCACTGACCTGAATACACGACTTCTGTCTGCCAGTAGTTAAAAGCAGCAATCCAGGCCTCGAACTGATGCGCCTGCCACGAGGCCACTCTCTGCAGTCTGGGCTCCACCTCGTTCACCGTCAGCAGGTGAAGCTGCCCCCTGGAGTCACTACTGACGATTTTCCAGGGACGGTCGCTGGCCCTAGACACAGGAACCAATGGGGAAGCCCAGCTGCACTTCGTTCATCCACCTCCTCCAGTTTTGAGCCCTGTCCCAGGAGGTCTCCACAGACGTGGTACGTGGACATGCCTCCTAAGGGACCTGCCCAGGCATCCGACGAAGGCCAAAACTGCCACTTAGCTTGTCAAAGAAACCAGTATTAACTTATCATGATAAAAATACTATTACCATTTATCTAAAATGCTGGAAATTTTTTTTTAAGATTAGGATGGGGAGTAATATTCCCAGGTCTAGGGAGCACAATCAGGGCTAACAAGTTGGGCATGGTGCTCACACTTGTAGTCCCAGCCACTCAGGAGGCCAAGGCAGGAGGGTCGCTTGAGCCTGGGAGTTCAAGGCCAGCCTGGGCAATACAGCGAGACCCCATCTCTAGAGAGATAAGAAAAAATTAGCTGAATTAGCCGGATGAGGTGGCAGTGCCCGTAGTCCCAGGTACTAGGGAGGCTGAGGCAGGAGGATTGCTGGAGCCCGAGAGTTCAAGGCTGCAGTGAGCTACGGTGATGCCACTGCATTGCAGCCTGGGTGACAGAGAGAGCAAGACTCTGTTTCTTTAAAAAAGGAAAAAAAAAAAAAAAAGGCTAACAGGCCGGGTGCGGTGGCTCATGCCTGTAATCCTAGCTCTCTGGGAGGCCGAGGCTGGCGGATTGTTTGAGCTCAGGAGTTCGAGACCAGCCTGAGCAAGAGCGAGACTCCGTCTCTACTAAGAACGTCCTTCTTTCCAAAGCACTTTCACCCCTGACCCACCGTGCGATCTTATTTACTGCGCGTCAAGCTTTGTGTCCACCGCCCTCCCCACTCGATG